TGCCCTTGGCAGAAAGGACTAGTGGCTGAATCTGAGGTCAGTAGTTCTCAACAAACAAACCTACCTTAGTGAAGGGAGCTTATTATAATTTTGAACAGTAAAATACTAATGGATGCAGAATACAGGGAAGAAAGAAGCATTGGCAAATGGGGCAAGCCACAGGCCTGGGAACCTGGCACTCAAACTAATCCTGGGAGTACTACTAGCTGGTACAGTCCTGGAAGTCATGACATTTTTTGGCCTTTCTGCAAAATGGGGATTATAAAAGGGCACTGGGCGCATCTACATGTGACTCTGCATTGCCATAGTGATGAACTACAGCGACATAGCACCGGCGGGTACAAACCATGATACCGCTGCTACATCGCTGTAGTGACAAGCTACCTTGCTATAGTGCATCGCTACAGCAATGTAGCTGCTAATAATAACAGTGCACTGCTGGGACTGTGTAGTAACGGCTGTTACTGAGCCATTATTTAGTACTTCCTGAAGCAAGTACTAAATGATGGCGCAGTAACAGCTGCACCATGGGAGTCACATGTAGATGCGCTCACTGTAGCTCTCACAGGTATCATGAAAATCTACACGTTTTGATTTGTACACTGCTTTGAAGATAAGAATGCCATTTTAGTACTATATTTTATTATTATGTAATGGTGTTGGACCAGAATGTGAGGACCAGTTCTCCATCCAGAATAGACAGCAACATTTTGCTCTCAGCTGGACTCAGGCAATTCCACTGAAGTCGACCATGTTGTACTGATATAACCAAAACCAGAATCCAGCTGAGTAAAATGATGTCTGGTGCTTGCCTGCCAAAAAATAAACTGATACAGTAAAGAAAAATGTAGTGGTAGCTTCAATTTTAGAGGTGTCCTGCTGTGTGGGAAAGTCCAAATGTAACCCTAAAATCTCTAACCTCTTGCTCTTCAGGCTGAAAAAGCTAGATCTGTTGCAAATTTAGGAAACTCAGGGGCCTCCAGAGGAATCTTATGCATTTGGGCTCAGAACAGTACTGTAAGGTTGAGCTTCCCTGTAAGAGTTTAATGAGGATAAAACAGCACAGACCTTTGGAACTCTAAGCAGGCTGCTCTGTTGGAACCATCTCTAAGGAGAGTTGAAACTGGAAAGTGATTTAAAATATAAAAGAAGATAGAAACCAAGTCCAGGCTCAATTCTTCTCTCAAAGTCCAATTTCTCTGTGAATTCAGTGGGAACTGAAGAGGCACCTGGGTTTTGTATTTTTACTGTTTAGCTTCCTTTGCTACAGTCTTGCTCAAGAGAATTTCCTGTGTGTTCAACAATGTTTAGATAAATCCTATAAGACTACTGGAAACAAGCAAATTTCCACTCTGAATTCTTCATACTTGGAGCAATGCTGCTTCTAACCAAGTCAAGAAAATCTTTGACGTTGAGATCAACAGAAAACATGCACTTCCCTGCAATCCTTAGGACTCCTTTGGGTTTCCCTTTATATTAGATTTTACCAATAGCATAAAAGTCATTCACACTCTCATAATGGATACATCTTACTTACATATACTCTCATACATATATATTCATATTATAAAGACTAAATTATTTGTTCCAAGTATTTATGCCCAACTCATCACTACAGTACCCTATTATTTGGAATCTGAATCCATGTGGCACCTGAGAGTAGAATCTGGATTCTCAGTTAAAAACATGCCAATCCCTAATCTGTGAAGATGTTTTTAAAAAACTATGAACATAAGGCTAAACTGCCTAACAACAGACCTCATGAAATCAGAACTGCGCTGCAAAACTTTTACACTAGATAGAATAGATCAGTGACCTATTCACTCACTCAGCTTGTCTCAAAATTGATTATTTACATGAAGGTTGTCAATTTGATTAATCCCTTTTAGAATGATTAGGAAAATCTCAGTAAGGACATTACTATAAATGTTACATTCTCCAGGTCAGACCTGAAGAATGCCTTGCATTCAAGAGCTTGTCTAACTTTATTCCAACTATACAGTTGGACCACTAAAAGATATTGCCTTAAGTTATTCGTATGCTTGCTTTTTTCTTCAGGTCACTAACTATGTCACTTATCATAAAGTCACGGAATTTTATGACGTTATAAAAGAGACAAAATCAGCTTTTGAGTTAGATTTTTCCATATAAAAACTATTAACATTTTTTGATTGGTCTATTAATAGTTGTTTCATCAGATCTCATTCTCCTGCTGGTTGAGAATCTAGGCTTTGGTCAAAGTGCACAAAGCACAAATTAGGGACTGTGGACCAATGGTGACTTACAAGTCATCTTTGCACTCTCCTGGTCCTAGTACTGTTTTATACAGGCTATTGTGCTAGCCCCTACAAGGCCAAGTTGGCCTCAGAGCTGCTGTAAATACACTGTGCTGCAACAGGCACAGTTATCATTTGTATTATGATATATCCCAATCACCACAGTTGAGGCTGCACTGGAACCCTGCACAATATAGCATCAGAGAAAGACCTTGCCCCAAAGAGTTTACAACATAAATGGGCAAGAAGCCAAAGATATAGCGGGCAGTTCTGAGTAACATAAGGGATCCTAGAAATGTCCCCTTTCTTTCAGCAACAGGAAGAGTAGGTTTCTCCAGAGATGTAACAATTATACAGGGATTACATTATACCAGTATAAAATGTTCTGATTTACCTATTATATATGTCCACACTTTTTGGCTGAAGTAGAAGTAAAAAGCTGTAAGTTTAAACCAGGGGAGGCCAATTATTAGGGCCTTCAGACCACATAGGTAGTTCTGGGGAGCTGCCATTGGCTGGTCAGCACCTCCCATCCCCCACAACAGCCCAGAGTCCACATGCCCTATGGCTCCTCATTGCCAACAGTGCATAGCCATATCCCTGACCCCGGCCCATCCCATGTCCATGCCAGACTCGCCCTGGCCAGAGTGGACCAGCCGGGACCCACATGCACAGCCCCAAACCCGGCCTCCCCGTGCCTGCTCCGAACTGCCCGCCCGTGCTCAGCAGCGGCAGCAGCCAGGCAGAAGCTGCTGCTCAACACAGGGAAAAAGCAGCCTCTCCCCCTTGCCGCTGCTGGGCCCTTCTTGCTGCAGCTGCCTGGAGCCCCTCCCTGCTGCTGTCACCACCACCTCTGGCCTGACCAGAAGGGCAGTGGTGGCTGTGGAGAGGAGCCACAAGGCAGCTTGGGTGAAGGCTCCAGGTGGCTGCAACAAGAAGGGACTGGCAGTGGCTAAGGAGAGGAGTCACTCTGCCTCCACACCAAACAGTAGCTTCTGCCTGGCTACCAACACCACTGCTCAGCCTGGGCCCCTGAATCTGGAGCAGGTGCAGGTTGGGCCAGGTCAGGGCTGCACACATGGGTTGCAGCTGGTCCGGAGATGGTCTGCTCCACTGGGCTAAGTCCAGAGTGGGTGTGGGGTGGGGTTGGTGCTGTGCACACAGGTCCCTACCAGTACCATGGGGTTGGGGCCAGCAGTGGTGGCAGTCAGAAGGAGCTGCTGCCACTACCTGGGCTTCTTAGAAAGGTAGTCTGGCTGCAGAGCACCCCTGCCCCACCATGTGCCTAGGGGTGATGGGACACGCCATAGCCCAGATGGTGCTTGGGCCAGGCAGGGCTGGGGGAACTACTGCGGGCTGGAAAAAGTCCCTCCGTGGACCGGATCCAGCCTGCAGGCCATATTTTGCCTACCCCTGGTTTAAACCAACTTCATTCATTTTGACATATGGCCTTGATCATTGGTGGCGAGACAAATGTGAAGGATCCAAAATTCAAAAATTGTATCTGATGTACAACCCTAATTATCACCTTTATATTTTCTTCATTTTGGCTTTTGTGAATGAGCTTATGAGAGCCAGACACCTAATCCACTGATTAACAACTACTTCATATATGCTAATATCTAAACTGCTAGGGCTAATGAATCAGACCTTTTTCACTTATCTGTTATTTACAAGCCAAACGTAAAGATGCTCTACATAAACCTGATGTTCTCTCAGCTATATTAAGTGCAATGAGTCAGGACACTGAAGCTATAGAACAGGATGATACAAGCTCATCTGCTAACACCACTAGAGACATATGGCACTTTGCAAATGTTAATTAAGGTTATGTATATTTATATTATATTTTAAGCTTCATGCAATATGGATTTTTAGGCTTTTGCTGAACCTGAATGTCTCACATTTGGGTTTTGGAAATTGAAGAAATCAGAGACTGCAATATGTTGTGTAAAAAAATCCCAACATTACATGTCTGTGGTCATGATATGATGGCTTGCCCCTGAAATAACATGGAAAAAAGTAAGACAAATTATAATTTATGAAGCAACATGACAAAAAGGAGAGAGTCTGGGAATTCAGTGCTTTATGAATCAAACTCACACCAGTGCACTAGAAGCCTGGCCTGCATGGAAACATGACTGACTCTTTGATGGGCCTGTTGTTTAAATTCCTGGAGGCTGGTGTGTGTTTCAGACATGTGTATAAATAACAGACACTCTCTGGATTTAGTAAGATCTTTAGTTGTGTTTTTAAACATTTGTGTGAATGGTCTCATTATTCATTTTTTCCATCTCATCCTAGGGCTGTTTTCTGCTTATAAAGCATTATTGCTTTGTTTTGTAAGCATAAGGACATGTTCCAGGAATACTGATTTTCATGAAAGGTTTCATTTGAGACTTTGTTCTCTTCAGAGACCATTCCCCCTTTCCGTTCCCAGTCTACATAAGGAAACCCAGAACTTCAACAACTGATACTATTTAAGATGGCACACAAACACACTCCTCAGCCAGCATGTACTCTACTTGGATTAGAGCTACTATGGAACATCTATCTCTAGGCACACACCCATCTCCACTACAGACTTTCAATGAACACTGATCCCTGGAGTTCATGAACTATGCTAAAAAATATGCCTGTTAAAACAGTACACTGAGCTGAATGCCAAGCCCATGTACCCTGGTTAAGTAGGTATGCCTGAGGGGAAAACTGTTTTGCATTTATGCATGTAAAAATCTTTGCTACATAAACATTGTTTACCCCCTTCTAAACCAAGCAAACAGATTAAGCATGAGGAATGTCAGAAATAAAAGGTTTAGCAGTTGACTGAATGGTTCTTCATTGTCTTGCTGGCTGCTTTGTGGATTTTTAAAAAGGAATTTGCAAGGATTAGGTCTGAAAAAAAGACAAAATGGTCTTGGGAGGGGCAAATTTGGAGGGAAGTCAGGCAATGTAAGTTTGTTTTAATAACTTTTGCTAAGGGTGCCTTGGAGAGATGCCATTTTAATATTTTGTATAAAGCTAAATCAGTAAAACTGGATGAAATTGCTAGAATTCAGGTGCAGTTTCAATCTTGCCAAATGTGCCTGGCTCTCTCTGGATTTAGGCCTATCTCTAGTGCCTCTAAGTGACTGTAAATGGGACGCAGCCATTGAGATTGAAGGTCAATAAATGTCTTCAATATTTTTCTCTGTTGGGCACAGAGCATGTGTTCATAGCAATGGAATCCTGAATCATCTTTGACAAAAGATGCATATTCTAAGGCTGCGGTCACTTCATGCCAGGCTGCCTATCCCAAGAATTGTAATTGTGACAAATGTCAGCAAAACTAGCATTCAAGGAGTTAAAAACCTTATTACATATAAACAAAATATGCAGAGATTAAAGTTAAAAAGTTTAAGCTTTTTGAATGACCTTGAACATATAGCAGATGTCCATTAAGGCAGCCTTTTTATGGAGTATTTGGCTGGCATTAGCAAAATTTGGGCTCATTTTCACTTCATGAAATCAGTAAGATCCCACAGGTGTCACCTGTCTGCAAACACTACCTGTGGGATGCTCCTTTAACCCCCCACAATATGTGTGGCTAGGGGTCTGGCAGGGGCATGGCACTGGGTAGAGAAAATGCTTTTTCACTCTAATTAAATGAAGCTGGGGTCAAGTCATCATGACAAACCTGTATCAGCTGGGCTGCGCTTTCTGGGCTGCCGTACCGATGATCGTGCCCATTAATAGCTAAAACCCGGTCATTCTCTTGAAGCTGTCCATCACGGGCAGCCACACCTCCTTCCAGCAAGTTGAAAATAAATACCCCAGGTTCATCTGCCTTGCGGACCAGTTTTATTCCCAGCTGCTCATCTGGGCTGCTTTTGCTTAGAACCACATGAAAACTGTCATCCCGGTTGTGAGCTTCAAAAGAAAGTCCATTGTTTCGGCATCGGTACCTCTGCTCTCTGAGTACTGTGAGTCGGAGCACTTGACAAGGCTGCTTCAGAATTGACACGGCATAGTTGTGAGGCACATTTTTGATGTCCATGCCATTTACCTAGAAGAGAGAATCATAAATCAATGGTGAAAAGACTGCCTAATCTGAACTGGCACTGTAGATAGCTCATCTATTTGCACAGATGCGTTCATGTTAAGTGCCATGCAGCATTGCAAGCTGTGTCACACAAAAGGCCAGGTTCCTATTACATAATATTATTCCCCTCAAGGATAGGACACAGCATATGGACAATTGCTTTCTTTTTCTTTTCTCACTGACTGTCTCCAGACATGACTATTATTTTTCAGTTTTATTACTATTCCTCCTCAGGCCTTCATATATCTTATCTTTATTCCACTAACTTCTGATTTGAAATCTTCTTCCCTGCTATCCTTCCTTTCACTCCCAGTAACTTGTCTGAAGTGCCCTTGTTCATTATCTCAAAACTACTATGGTTACAGTAGACAATCTGAATCTTTCATTTCCTACCTAATCAAAAAGCTGATCTGAACAGGGAAAACAAGCCGGCATAGTTTGGTCCACTTCTAGTCCAGATAGTTAGCTATAGCTGGACCTTAGGCTGATTTATTGCATCAGAGAACAAAGCTTTCCAAGTTTTAAAAAATGTTCTGGTTTTTCTTTTCTTTCAAGTAGCCACAAATGATAGAAATATAAACCAAGCCTGCAATTCTTGCTTTGCAAAACAGACGGGATATTTCACTACAAAATGAAAAATATTTGCCTAGTTTTAATTTGCCGTTTGGAAAAGCAAATCAGACAACAGTTTCTATGCAGTTTTACATTATGATGAGTGCTGCTAGACTGCAACAAAAATTATTCTCGGCATAGAGAATTGGCTTTGTTTGGTGGGTGGTTAATATTGTCGCTCTAGGAAAGTCAACGCTGCAAATCCAAAAAGTGAATACAGCTCATCTAGACATGAACAAACTTGCTTTAAACTCACTGGACTTGGAAACCAATAAGTGCTATCAGCAGCAGAATGATATTCATCATGGACTACAGAGTTCACTCAGGACTCTTTGTAACTAGTTGGGTGGCTAGCACACCGGAGTGCTGCTATGGCTACTCTGCTCTTGGCACTCAAGCCAGTTAGTTTAAAGCTACCTGGGGTATGTCTACGTAAACTGCAATTCTACCACTGGACTGCAGTGTACACATATCCTAAATTCAGTGTCTGCTCAGCAGTTCTACAACTCTGTTGCACTGAGCTGGGACCAAAACAAAAGAAAAACAGAAACTTAAATTTCCATGATACCGGTTAAGTTTTTTCTTCTAGTTAACCTAGAACTGTTGTTTACTGGAGGATTTAAACAAGACAGTGGATTAATAGAACAAACATCATTGACTACAAATGGCGAGTTTCATTTTGATCTTGCGAAATTCCTTTAATGACCATAAGAATAAAGGACTGTTAAGGCACTCCATAGCCATCAAATCTAGATCCCTGGATTCACAAGCAGCTGCTACCAAAAAATTCCCAAAATTTCCTGAATCACTTCAAACTCTCAACCATGAGGCATAAAAGCAGGAACACCCACCCCCACCCCACAGCGTGCTATAGATAAAAGCTAGGGAGACAAGGGCACCACCAATGCTTTGCCATTGCAATGACAGAACTGGTTAATATGTGCTTCTACATCTGCTCAACCCCCAGCTGATAGAACAGATTCAACCCCCAGCACTAGGTTATCTGGCTTACAGGGCTCCCCATGGGTATGTAGGGTGCCCCATGGGCCACAGCACTGCATGCTAGATCAGGCTTACAGGGCAGCACTGGGTCCAATCCCAGGATGTGGGGCCAGGTGAAGGTAGTGCTGCAATTGGGCTCCAGGGGCCCTGGAGCCTGGCAACCAGCATGCAAAGCTGGGCAGAGGTGGTGAGGAGCCCTGTGGTCCAATCTAGGCACTTGGGGCCAGTGCAGGGCCTGATCCTGGTGTACAGGGTCAGATCCAGCCTGTGGACTGGCCCAGCATTATTCATGTGGCCTGTAGCACCTAAACATTGAGCACCACTGATATAGACTAATTGGTAAATGGAAACAATCATATAATCTGAGGTCACAATTCTGCAAGGTGCTAAGTGTTTTTAGTTATCACTTATCAGTGACATTAATAGAAATTGAGAAAGCTCAGCAATTTACTGGTGGTGCTCTGTATTTCAAAGGATCAGCCCCTGTTAGATTACTGGCAAAGAAAACTTAACACAAATCTGCAGAACACAGTGTTGCTGGATATACTGTCTACCAGCAGCCAAAAGGTAGGCAGTATGAAGGAAGCAGCAAGATGGCTGTCAAGAGGTATGCCTCTGAGAAAGCCTTGGTGTTATATATTGTCGGTTTGTCTGCACTGCAGTTCAAATAATTATTTACAGCTCATATCTGTAACAGGACCCCTACCCCATTACTGAGAAGGGAGGGCAGAGTCCTGGGGGTCAGCTGGTCAGACAAGCCCAGGCACAGAGCAAAAAGGGGGGATAAGACTGGAACAAGCACTTACCACTAGAGCCAGCAGCAGTGGCGAGAAGCCCTGAAGCTGCCTGAGATTGGCTAGGACAGAGATCACTGGTAAAAGCCCAGGAATGCAGGTGACCAGCAGGCACAAGGGCCAGAGAGATCTATAGATACAGGCCCTGCAGGCTGCACAGAAAACAAGCTGCTTGCTGAGAACTAGCCAAGGGGTGCCTGCAGGACTGCTGAGCTGCCTGGGAACTACTGGCCAGACTGTGAAAGCCCCAAGTAGGGCCTAACCTGGGAGCTAGCTGTCCTGGATGCTTGCCTGCCTTTTGGGGGGTGGGGAGGGGAGATATTCCTGTGGGTTAAAGGGTTATTATGCTATTTTTTCTGCTGAGTGTTATTCAGTTACCCAGGAGGGGAGAGTTTTGATTGTAGCCAGGGGGCTTTTCTTTTGGTTATGGTTTACTGCCAATGGCTTGGGTTTGGGACTAAAGGGATGGTTTGGAGGTCCTATTGGTTCCCAAGAGGCACGTATCAGCCCTGAGCACTCCTGAAGGCAGGCTCAAGGTGTTGCGGGAAAGTGGCAGGTCCAGAGTGGGGTGCAGTGTAGGGGTCAGCGAGCCCAGAGTAGGGCAGTCCTGCAGTGGGCCAAGACAAGACTGGGAACCAAAAATCAGGTCCGGCCCAGTGGGCCTAGGCTGTGGGACCCAGCTGAGAGGAAAAAAGGACTGAGGCCAGAGGGGCCAAGCCCTGGAAAACATATCTGAGTGCCCAGACATTAGCTAGCCCACAAACCAGGGGCTGGGACCTACTTTGGGACCCTCAGAGATAGCTTCGCTCAAATACAGAACACAACATCAAGTTGTGGCAGGTGAGAGGGGAGATATACTCAGAAGAGGAAACTGCGCAGGGTCTGGGCAACTATCAGGGGATGTTGCAGTCACCCCTCCTCTCTTCCCTTGGGATAGTGTCTTGTTATAATATCAACACATCTAAGTGAGTTTTAGACTAGCTAGTTGGGGTACTGATAGTGGTGTATTCTCTATAGCATTGAGTTCAACTCAGCTTACTTCCTCAGACAGCTACCCAGGATCCTGAAAGGGTTGCAGACTGAGGCTTTTGGGCCAGGGACAGAAGTTACATATAAACTGGCTTAAGATAAACCTTGTTCGATGTAGTATCAGATTTAACTGATTTAGGTTAAACCGGTTTATGGAACTTCTGTCCCAGATCCCTTCCTGGTTCAAGTTAACTCACAGTACCCCAGCATCCCATGATACTTTGCAGCCCTGGGTTATGCTGCCTGCTCCAAGTGGCATGCCTCTTGGAGCAGGAAAAGGGAAAGCCCCTATGGTGTGGGCTTTTTGACCCTCAGCAATCCGCCCCCTGCCCAGCTGCTGATTGCTTCAGTGGCTGCCACAGGTGGGAGGGAGAAGCAGTCCTCCTGGCCAGATGCCTGCCCATGCAGCCCAGCATGGGAGCACTGGGAAGCCCCTTCCTTGCGGTGGGCTTCTCTCTACCCCAGCCCAGGGTCCTCCAGCAAGGGCAGCCGCAGGGAACTGATGGGAATTCATCCCCTCCCGAACCCCAGAGCTGCTTGCTTTAGCCCCTGTGAAACTCAGGGATAGCTCTGGGCAGCCTCAGGGATTAGGCCCATAGAAATTTCAGCCAATTCTGTACTCATGTAACTGGAGATTGCACCAACTGAGAGTTAGCCCTCAATTGGAAACACTTCCTTAAAAATCCTGATTCTGGCTGGGTCACAGCCTCCTGTACTGCACTTCAGTCATCCCGCCTCAGGCTAAAAGAGGAAGCCTGAAACACAAGGGAAAATAACCACACCAATCAATCAGTAAACTTCAGAAATGGTTTGATTCAAGATTTGAGCAAAGGTTATGGTCAGTTCTTATTTATCCATGTAGTTCATCCATCCTAATTCATTAAAGCAGTAATTCAGGAAAGCATCTGTATTCAGGGCAGCATTTAAGCATGCATGGAAGTGATTTTCTGAATAATTGTCAATTTTGTAGAAAAAACTTCACAAAGTAGCAGTCTGCAGTGTAATTTCACATCTTTCCAAAATTATGCTGTTTTACAGACCTACACCTACACCCCCTAAGCCTGCTGTAGTATTTTACCTACATATCTTTTTGTTAAGATTTGTCCCTTCATCAAGCCTCCATAGTACAGTACCTTTAGTATCATGTCTCCTGGCAGCAATCTTGCATCTCTGGCAATCGCCCCATCTCGATAAATATGCTGTATAATAATGTGAACCAAAGGAGTCTCACTGCCTCCAACAATCCTAATGGCCAGATTTTCATTGGGATCAGTACGGTTGATCTTAATACTGGTAATTTCACCATCTGGGATCAGGTGATACAATCTGGGAAAACCTGAAATGCATATAAAAAGATATGTATTTGGAATAATAATTTTACATAAGTAAAACACTTAAAGCACACACAGCTTTGAGGCATCCACAGCAGATCCAGCTGGGTCAGACTTTATCAGTAGGTATGATTAATGGTAAAAGGGGAGGGAAGGATGCACATGTTATTTTAGGGATTTGAAATGATTTATTGATTAATACATGCAAGCTTTCATCTTTCTGCTATCAGTTCTTCTCTCTCTCCCTTCTACCATTATGTACTGGGACTCCTGCCAGTCTGCAGTGTAGTACCCCAAAATACAACTAGGACCTTTATTGTGATCCAGGCAGATCAAATTTAAGAAAACTGCAGTAATGTGTTCAAGTATCTCAGGAGAACTAAATATGTTCTTTGCCTTAAAACATGCTCCCTTCCAGGCAGTCATTCTTTACTGGGCCAAGGACTATAGCATGGACATGTGTAACCACCACACCAAAGGCAGAGCAGCCTACAAACACTGGCCATCACATCATGATCCATCATAGGCTTTGTTTACTGGTGCATGTCAGTTTTCAGGGGCTGCCTGAGCAGTGTGCATGACTGCTTTACTAACCTTGTGTTTCAGCACCGCAAAAGAAAATACCAGAGGGTGCTTGGCTCACAAAACCTGAGGAAGTATTTCCTCAAATCTCATCTGCGAATTAAAGGAGAACAAGATGCCCTGCAGTTTCTCTATAGAACCCATCCTACTTCACTGTACAGTGTTCAAGCATACTCACTAAATAGGAGCCCCAGGCTCCTTTCCCAATGTCGGTGTGCAAAGTCTTTGGGTGTCTGGAGGAAGAGCACATGGAAACTATGAATGAGGACGGGGTACATGTCAAACTTCTAGGACTGTCCAAACTCTGTGGGCTCAGCTACATATAAAAATGACTTTCTTCTAACCAAACCATCATATGTAATACAATGAAGGCTTGGTTTAAAACCTGATTGGGAAATGCAGGCATAAAAAGGCGTCTCTGCTTGGAATCCATTTAGCTGAAATGGCAGAAACAGCTGAAGCTATTAATAATGGCTGTGACTTTTCTACATTATTGCCTAGTGAGATGTTACTGCAGGCCTGTAAGTATGGGGCAAAACTAATAGACAGTTGCATGTCCCAGACCTTACAACATAGCTTTACCTCCCATCTACAGAAAAAACAATATGACAATATTCCCTGATACAGATCCCAGCTCAGCGTGGAATGTACATGCCAAATGTTAGACATCTGTATAGGCTCCCAGAAACAACAGTCTGCTCCTGTGTTTTGAGTCAGGTGTGTGCTTGAGTACATCTTTAATTGGCACTATACAGTGCAATGTAGAGAGAATGATTAATTTGGATTCAAGTAACAGGCAATTTATTTGAAGGGAAGAATAATATTTTTCTCTCCATGCCAGAATTTGAACGACATTTTCACTTGACTTATAAAACCACTAGGTAGCGTATAACCATTTTGTCTCCCAAGCTGTAGTGAGCAGAATTTTCCTGTACCCAAGGAAGGCTGAGTGGTTGTTTCCTCTTTTTACCAATATTTCCTATATTTATGTTTCAAAGGGCATATCTCTCTTTACACCATGTATTGCTATCACTTCCTTTTCTTTAAGGAGTAGTAAACTTTCTGATAAAAATCCATCCTCAAATCATCTGAGTCTTAAGAGCCACTTAGCTATATTAGTCCCAAGTCAGGTAGAAGATAGGGGCATCAGCCTTTGTTGTCAACAGCTTTGTCAGATTCTATGAATGGATTTGCAGAAAGAAAGGGATTAAAATATACAAGAATTAAATATAAAGGAAGAGGACAGGGGGAGGAAGCAAAAGGTGGGTAGAAAAGATCTAAAAGAGCAGATGGCTGTGTCCAGACAAGCATGGCCGTGCAGTGTGTAGTGCCATGGACACATCTGCAGTGCCACGTACCGCATGTTTTGTTGTTGTCCATGCTGCAAGGGAGCAGGGGGGGGGGAGGGGGTTGACCTGGAGATATCCAAGGGTCAAAAAAACCCCGTGGAAAAAAGGCAGAGCGGTGTACATGTCAGCAGTGTGCCGCCTGAAGCCAGAGCCTGGCTGGCCAGAGCTGCACTTGACTGCTGGCCAGGCTCCGTGTGGCAGGATCACTGCTGCTGCAGCTCTGGGATGCCCCCAGAATCCCAGGTAAAGCTGCTGGAGAAAGCCCAGTGTTGGCCCCAGCTTCCCCTACCCCACCCAGGGTAACCTGCCACACTCCAGAGCACTGGTAACGCATAGGGGGTGCACGCAGGTGCATGTGCACCCCCTGAGATCGGCCATGCACCCCCTGGAAGCACCAGCCGTGAAATCAGAAGTGCACTTCCAGTTTCACCACTAGCTTGGCAATTGGCTGCTGGGGGGCCCCCCTCTACCTGGTCAGCCATCGGCCACTGGGGGACACCCCCCTCCCCCCGTAGGCAATCTGGTGCCCCCACAGAGTCGGGAGGCACCGGTCACCCATGTTCCAGAGCGCACATGGCACAGACGTTCCCCAGGGACAACTAGCAGTGGCACAGGGTGCACCGCCTCTAGTTGTCCCTGGGAAACAAAACGTCCACACGTGTCTGGACACAGCCATTGAATACAAGCCGATGAAAGCTCATGTCTCTCTAAACCAGTTAGTCTCTAAGGTGCCCTACTTTTCCCTGAGTCTAAGAGAAACCAAAGGAGTTATCACAAGGAAATAATCCTTGGCTCAGTATTATTTTACAGGAATATCAGTATATATTAAATATATTAACCAATATTGAATATATTAACCTGTTAAACATCTTTTATTGATGCAAGTCCCCTGTACATGAGGGAAGCCATTTTGAATCTTTACCACATGGGATCTTTTGACCCTTTTTGAGAACTGTTATGAATTCATGTAAAAATAAATATTTTTTTTACAATTATGGGTAAAAAATAATTTGTCACTGTTTCTTTCAATTATTCATTTTTAAAATAAAGAGGTGGTAGCAAAGAGTTTGCACATCCCTTGGACAGCCAGCTGCAGAACCCAGGTCTTAGTTTTCATGCACCCCGTTTATCCCTCTCCCCTCTCTCACCCTCATATATATAATTAGCTCTGCTCCAGCCTTTTTAACCAGGTTTTCCAGAGTAGGAAAACCCCAGAGCATGCATGCCTGCCTTTATTCTTTTACATTTCCAGTTTTTACATATTGATGAACTGCGGAATCTAGAAAGAAGTAAACCTTCTGTCCTGTGCTTGGTGATTCTTGCAGATTTTTTCCTGCACGCCTGTATTTGTCTCCTCAGGAGTGATATGGAGTACTCTGAATCTGTCAATAATAATAAAACAGATATCTGGTTTACTTCTTCCTTAAGCAGTACTCCTTTGATATAAGCCTGTAAAATTATTGATGTACCAGTGGCCCTACTGCAGTTACAAATGACATGGAACAGAACAACAACCCCAAGTTAGACTAACACCTACGCTCAGTTGGAAAGATGTAGGGTATTTAACTTGCATTAGCACTTTTGCCATAAGATTTTCCCATGAAATGTTAACCATGCTTGCCTATTTCTCCCCAAAGTTTATGCTGCTTAATATTAGCCAATACTGAAATTAAATCAAGTCACATGCTTGTTGTATACCTGCTAATAATACTGATATTAAAATATTTTGGCCCTTAATTTCCAAGCCCAGGTTTGATAATGTCAGTTGCTCAGGTCTAATATATCTTGATAGTATTATCAACAGATTTGCACCCAGTGCTGTATATCTTAGTTAATTTTAGTTGACCTGACACACAGAGTAGTCAGTTGAAGCCAATGGGATTATTTCCCTGGTTAAAATTTACACACATCAATAAAGCTTTTTGTAGGAGCAGATTCTTGCTTTTTTTTTTTTTTTAACTTTGCTTCCAGAATTTAAGCAAACTTTGATCAAGAGGTCATCAGTAGTCCCTCAGTACAAGGATGAGGCATCCAGTAAACAGGGACATCACAGGTGAGTGACAGAGGCAGCTAATCCAAATACTACATGTTTGATTGCAGACATGGCAAATAGTTCTGGGAGAAAGGAGTAGGTCCTGGTGATATCAGATCTCAGCTCTTCCCCTTTGTCTCTCTTGTCTATCCACAATCCATAGTGAGGCAAGTTTACTTGAAATGACTAATGCCTTGTTGTATATCACAGCACTACTGGGGATGACTCAGTGCTCAAGTCTCCCAGGCATTGTTGTTAACACTGCTAATAAAGATCCAAATAAATAGTTCTGTATTTTTCACATGCGTTTGTCCTGGCTTGGATTTTGTACTGTTTTCAATCATCCTAATTTTGCACATTGCACAAATTGTTTTAATATTTCATTTTCCCAATTATTTTTGGTTACTTTGCAGATGGGAACAAGTCTTGAAAGATGTCCCAAACTTTGGGAATTTTACCATTTTAATGCCTTTTGTTGTTTCTGTGAACTCCACCTATGTAATATTATCTCACAAAAGTTAGCTGGCACTGAAAATGCAACTATTTTAAAGCTCAAGGTATTTTAATAATATTAATCTTTTCTAGGTCAGCAATCACATCCCCCTTTAATGTTTCTATTTTGGCCTCATTCAGGAACTCTACTGGGTTAAACCCTGCAGGACTGCTCTTTTTCGGGAGCGGGGGGAGGGGGGGAAGGAGGGGAGAGGGAATGTATTTATGTATATTATATATCAGGGGTGGGCAAAATACAGACCGCGGGCCGGATCCAGCCTGCGAGGCCATTCTATCTGGCCCACAGGGCCCCTAAAAATTTTAGAAAATTAATACTCATCTGTCCTTGGTTCCTGTAAAAAATGACAGGAATCAAGGGCAGTAGGACCCAGGGGAAGCCTGGCGGGCTCCCACAACAGCAGGGCCCACCTGGCCCTGCCCCCACAGCCAGAAGCCCCAGCCAGGGCTTTTGGCCTGGGACCATGTGGCTGCCCCACACCGGAACTGCAGGTAAGAGGAAAGGGGGAGGGAGGGAGGGAAGGGCAAGAGA